GCTCAGTTGGTTAAGCGACTGCCTTCAGCTCAGGTCATGATCCTGGAGTCCCGGGATCGAGTCCCACATCGGGCTCCCTGCTCGGCAGGGAGTCTCCTTCTCCCTCTGACCCAACTCCATCTCATGCTCTCTCTCTCTCTCATTCTCTCTCTCAAATAAATAAATAAAATCTTAAAAAAAAAGATTGACCATTTTAAGGATTCTAAGTATTACAGTTCATTGGCGTTAAGTACATTTACATTGTTGTGCAGCCATCACCATCATTTGCTTCTAGATCCTTTTTCATCTTCCCAAACTACATCCCGTTCCTCTCTACAGTCCCTGGCAATTATCATTCTACTTTCTGTTTCTATAAATTTGACTACTTTAGGTGCTTCATATAAGTGGAATCATACAGTATCTGTCTTTTTTGACTGCTTCTTTCACTTAGGATTATGTCTCAAGGTCCGTCTCTGCTGTAGCATGTGTCAGAATTTCTTTTGGTTATTTTTTTTTACCTGCCCAACATTCTTCACATTTTATTCAGCGAATTATGACTTATATGATGGGCCACTTTAACCAAATGAAATTTTTGTGCCACATTTTTTTCCCCATCAGTATGTATATTTTTTAAATTGAGGCATCACTGGGGCGCCTGGGTGGCTCAGTGATTAGCCTCTGCCTTTGGCTCAGGTCATGATCCCAGGGTCCTGGGATCAAGCCCCGCATCAGGCTCCCTGCTCAGAGGGAAGCCTGCTTCCCCCTCTCCCAGTCCCTCTGCTTGTGTTCCCTCTCTTGCTGTGTCTCTTTCTGTCAAATAAATAAAATCTTAAAAAAAAAATAAATTGAGGCATAACTTACATACAACAAATTGCACAAGATTTATGGTCCGGTCAGTTTTGACAAACATTTATGCTATGTAACTATCACTCTGATTAAAATACAGAATATTTCTGTCATATACCAGAAAGTTTCCCTGCGCTGCTTTTCAATTAATCTTCCCTTCAACCCTCAAGTGTTGTTCTGATTTCTTTCTGCATAGTTTAGTTTTGCCTGTTCTAGAGCTTCATATAAGTGGAATCATATAATGTGTACTTTTCTTCTGTTGGACCTTTTTTAGCATTATGATTTTGAGATTCATGTATGTTGTTGTGTATATCATGCACATACTTCATTTTTTTGCCCTTTGGTAAATTCCTGGAAGTGAAGTTGCTAGGTCATAGGGTTGATGTATGTTGGGCCTCATTTAAAAAAAAATGCAGTTGATCCTTGAACAACGTAGGTTTGAATTGTGCTGGTCCACCTATATGCAGATGTTTTTTGATATAGTAAAATACTGTAAATGTATTTTCATTGAGACTCTCTTAATGTTTTCTCTGCCTTTATTGTAAGATTTCAGTATATAGCATACAAAATATGTGTTAATGGACTTTATGTTATTGGTGAGGCTTCTGATCAACAGTAGGATATTAGTAGTTTTGGGGGGAGTCAAAAATTACACTTTTGGGTTTTTGATAGTGTGGGGGAGTCAGTTCAAGGATCAACTGTATATATTTTTTTGTTAAAATCTTATTAAAAAATTTAGGGCAAAAGTCACCCGTAATCATAATCCTATTTCTCCAGTGCTGCACAGCCCATGACTAACAGAGCCCTTTGACTACAGAGTGCTTTTCACATAGTAATCATGGTGTCCATACCTTTTTTATGTAATACATGCTATTGTTCTAAGAATGTTAAAAAGAGCTGTGGCAAGTGTGGGTGGGAAGCAAAATGAGCAGTAATTTGCCACTCACATACCCTTTTATGATTAGTATTTATAATTTTGAATAAACACTATGGAAAGGAAAGGGTAACAGATTTTTTTCCTTGTAAAAGTAATATATTTTCCGTTTAGAAAATATAAAAAAAAGTGTGAAGTAGACCAAAGATCTTCCATAATATCACCACTAATTAAACTCTAGACCTTAGTTGAATTTCACCTTTCTTTATTTTTTATTTTTTTATTTTTATGTTTTTCTGCTCCAGGATCTAATCCAGGATCCTGCATTGGATTTATTTGTTGTCTCTCCTTAGTTTCCCCTAACCTGTGACACTTCCTTCTCCTTTCCTAGTTTTTATGACCTTGACACTTTTGATGATTACTGGTTGTTGTTGTTGTTTTTTTTTTTAAGATTTTATTTACTTATTGGTCAGAGAAAGCATGAGCGGGGGAGCAGCAGGCAGAGGGAGAGGGAGAAGCAGACTCCCCGCTGAGCAAGGAGCCGGATGTGGGACTCGATCCCAGGACCCTGGGATCATGACCCGAGCCAAAGGCAGACACCTAACTGACCGAGCCACCCAGGCGTCCCGATTACTGGTTGGTTTTATAGGATGTCTCTCATTTTGGATTTATCTGATATTTTTTCATGATTAGATTGAGGTTATGCTTCCCCCTGCCCCCCCAATACCACAGAGGTGATGTTGCGTCCTTCTCAGTATATTCATATCAAGGAGTACGTGATGTCGAGATGGCTTATTGCTCATATTAACCTTGATCACTTTTTTAGGGTGATGTCTGCCAGGTTTCTCTCCTCAGAGTTACTATTTTTCCCTTTGTAATTGATGAATGTCTTGAATAGTTAGGGACTATGCTAGTATCCTGTTTCTCCCCAAACTTTTGCCCATGATTTTAGCATTTATTGGACGGTCTTGCCTGCAAGAGTTATTACTGTGGTGTTTACCTAATGGTGATTTTTTTATTAATTAGAATTCTTCTGTATGGAAGAGTTGTCCCTTCTCCCCCATTATGTATTTAGTTATTTGTCAGTGTGGACTCACGGATATTTTATTCTATAGGTTTTAATTTAGTCTATCATTATTCATTTTCTTGCTCAAATTGTTCTAGCTTTAGTCCTTGGAAGCTCCTTTAGGTTGGGTCCCGAATCATTTGACAGGGCCCCAACATTTTTTGAGGACTTCTTTATTTTCTGGAATAAGATGATCCAGGTTCATCCTGTATTTTTCCTGTTCTCGCCCTGGAATGAACTTTTTATTTTATTTAGTTCATTTTATTGGAGAAAGAAAGATAGTTATAAACCAAGACTTGGATACTAGGTTTCTATATTGAGAGAAGTGGTTGATTCCAGGGTGTCTTTACTCCTAGGTCCTTTCAGCAGATATAGGGCCAGGAAATACATGCGTGAATCCTAATCCATACAGATACACACACCTCCGTATTTCTTTCTTTATTTGTGTATGTGTACGGAAAAACACAAGTTTATACTGATATCTCTGGCTCCAGTTCAATTCTGCAAGGTTCATTCTTGTCTCCCCCTTTCCTTTATTGTAATTTCTTTCTCCAAAGGTGAAAAATCTGGCTCCCATTAGCTATAATAAATTCACTTTCCTGTTTGGTCTTAGTATACACATAAAACAGTTAAAGAATTGCTAACTAACCCATAACCCTGTGAGAAAGACATTTACTCACAGTATTTCTATATAGTTCTTTCCATCTTTACAGTATCCAAACTACTATTTTCCGAAGTTCATTTCACTAGTTATTTTCTTCCTGAGCCCCTTCAGTGTGGTTCCCTTATTCATTTGTAATCCTGTTAAGTTTATTTGATACTGCCTATATTCCATTTTGGATTCCTGCATGTATTGGTTGGTTTTGATTATTTATTGGGAGGATAGGAAATATTAATGATTTTAAGAGTCATATTTATACAAAAAAGGTTTAACAAGTCCAAAAGAGAACTCCTGGTTTTCTGCCCCAAACCTGCTTTTCCTTTAAGCTTCCCCATCTCTCTAAGTGGCACCTCCCCCAAACCACATCTAATCCATTAGGAAGTCCTATTGGTTCTATTGCAAAATATATTCCAAACACTACAGCTCTAATGTAAGGTGTGATTATTTCTGCAGTAGTTTCCTAACTCATCTCTGTATCCATTGTTACCCTCTTTATAGTTCTTTTCTCTGCAGGGCAGCCAGAGTGATCTTTTAAAAGTGCAAATCAGAGACAATGTAAGCAGAATACACTGCAGACCTTTTGTCAGCCTGTAAGACTCTTTATTTTCTGACTCCTACCTAGTCTCTTTTCCTCAGCTCGAACCATTCCAGCCGTATCTGTCACCTTTCTATTCCTCAGTTGCACCAAGTTATTTCTTATCTTAGGGTCTTTGCACTTGGCATTGCCACTCCCCAAAACATTCTTTCTCCATATCTTTGCTTGCCTGCCTGCTTTCTCAGCTCAAATCACTGCCTGGGAGTGGCCTTCCTCGAACACTCTAGCTAAAGAGGTAACTTCTAGCCCCTGAGCACTCTGTGTCCCATTTCCCTGGTTTGTGTTTTTCCTTAGCAATTTTTTTTTTAAGATTTTATTTATTTATTTGACAGAGAGAGAGAGAGTACAAGTAGGGAGAGGGGGAAGCAAGCTCTCCACTGAACAGGGAGCCCAATGTGGGGCTCAATCCCAGGACCCTGGGATCATGACCGGAGCTGAAGGCAGCCGCTCAACTGACTGAGCCACCCAGGCGCCCTCCTTAGCAATGTTAATGATTTGAATTTTCCCTGTTTGTTTTCTTTTTAAAATTTGTCTTTCCTTACTAGAATATAATTTCTGTAAGGGCAGAGGCTTTTCTCATTTTGTTCACTGCTAAATTCCCAGTGCTAGAATAATGGTTGGCTCTAGTAGGTACTTAGTGAGCATTAAATGTTCTTAAGTGAATGATTGAATGAATTATTAAATGGAAACACTAGCAATATTTTATATATTCATACTTTTACTGTTTGTCATTTTGATTAAGCCATGGTTTTTAATGGATTTAATGGTCAATTTCCTTCTCTCTCAACTAGCCATGTACACCTCCATGTGATCAGCCAGGATTTTGATTCTCCTTGCCTTAAAAACAAAAAACACTGGAATTCTTTCAATACAGAATACTTCCTAGAATCACAAGGTAAACAGTGTTCTTTAGTTTTCACATTTGTTTCATTTTCTCAGCTATTCTTTTTTTTTTTCTGTTCTTATATTTGATTTTCTTGTTTCCTTAGATAATTACTTGGCCTCAAAAGCCCATGTACCACTTTGTGTCCCTATAAAGAGAGACCCATTAAAAGAAACTGGATTATTTGGATTGCCACTTTGCTTTGAACCACCTTCTTGCGGGGGACCTAGAAAGCTGTTATGTCAGAGTCAGAAAGGTGTTTTATTGTAACGACAGGGGACTTAAAGGTTGTCCTGAGAATTATTGGAGTTCATGGATGTGAAAGCTCTGAACAGTTGTCTTTTCTGCCATCAGCTGGATAGGAGCTTGGGGGCAGCCTCATGTCACAAGTGGTTAATTAACAGGAGAGGGCTGCGTGTATGTGGAAGGGAGCATTTCCCAGTGTGTATATTGTGGAACTTCAGTATGCTGGGACGTTAATGATGGCAGCTACCACTGACCGAGGGCTAACCAGCAGTAAAGCACTGTGGTGACATGTAACATGGTTTACTTACAGTGTGTTCCAAAGGAATGTAATTATTTCAAAAACAGGTTGCTCAGATTTAGAATCTGATCAAGCCCATTTTCCCCACAGTGGGTTTAACCTCAAGTTTACTAGCTTTAGGATACCTGGCATATTTTTATTTGGAGTCAGATTTGCTTTTCTGGGGGGTATCTTGGTTTTTCAGAGTAGCTGGGCTCTGAACTCTTTTCTTTGCTTGCAGCTGTGATAGAGATGGTGCAGGACGCTGGCAGAGTGAGTGTCCGAGATGGGATGCCTGAGCTCTTGAGGCTGCCCCTGCGTTGTCACGAGTGCCAGCAGTCGCTGCCTTCCATTCCCCAGCTGAAAGAGCATCTCAGGAGGCACTGGCCAGAGTGATTCCACGGAGCCTGAACCTTTGCAGCAGGTGTGGCTGATTGTGTAGAGCAAATTCCTGGCACCTGTCCTGGATTGCCTGTGAACTTTTATTTCTTGAATTAAAACATGCGGTTTGTTTGTTTGTTGTTTTTTTTTTTAAACAAAGCTTCTTCTGTTCCTGAGTGGCTACAATATGGGGTGACTTGAAGTAGTTTAGGAATTAGGAATTTGGGTTTGCCATGGATGTGTTCCCTGGTGATGGTGGCTGGGATAGGATCCCCAGGCTCCAGGATCCATGTCAGGTCTGACTGATGGGGGGCAAAGCCATGTTCAAACTGACCTAATGCAAGATATGGAAGAGGGTGGGCTATATATTTCTGTCCATACATTTAATCCTTTCTCCCCAGAGGCCTGTGGTACTCTTCATCAGAGCAGCTAGAGAGGTCTCATATTTATCCTGAAGGCCCTAATTGGTCTTGTTCTCTGATCTTAATCTATTCTGTAATATTCTTTCTCCTTCCTTTCTTCATGGAGAAACTTAGTTGCTTCTGTCCCTTTCATTCCTTTCTATCCAAAACCACCCATGCTTCCTTCTCAGGAAATGTGTCTCACCAGTTCTTATTCATTTTAAACAAACAGGCTAGACGAGGGGGTGGAGAGATGGAGTTTTCTAATATTAGGGGTTCCTGGCTGGTGAGGAAATACTTGGCCAAATGTTCATCACGGTTTGGTTGTCAAGTCTTCTTGCTGGTCTGCTTGAATCTTTCATCTGAAAATAAAGTTTGTTTGTTTGGGGCAGCTATCTTGGGTAGTTGAAAACTGTTGGGAGTTCAGGTAGTAGTCACAGATTTAGTTCTGATGCATGCAGAGGTCGCTGTTGACTGAAAAGTTGCACAGAACCCCATAGCTTCATTTTTCACTCAGAACAAATTTGGATGGTACTGTTGGAGCAAGTTGATTTTTGGATAATGTCAGAACTGAAGGTAAAGGGAAATCTAAAATGTTTTTGATTACATTGGTGATCTATTTGAGGATTTGACTCTTTTTGCTCTTGAGTTAAAAAAAAAAAAAGAATACCCTTAATAATAATTTCTCTCTGGAGAAAACCTCAGTCCATAGAGACCACATTTGACCTCAGTCTTCCACAAACAGGATGCTACAGTGGTTTCTTGGTGAGCATGGGTATAGTCATAATTAGCAGGAATTAATGATTATAGCAGCTAACACTCAACTCCTGTGTGTCTGGGCATTATGCTAAACACTTTGTTCAAATTATCTCATTTACTTCTCACTGTATGTAATTCTATGGGGTAGGTACCATTGTTATGACCCTTTAAAGGATAAAAATTTAATAATCTATAAAGGTTGCTGGGCTTCAAAGTTGGTCTTAGTTCTGGTGCATCAAATTCATTTTCCCTATTAGTTGAAGAATATAAATGTATTACTAACCAGTAGGAGCCATAGACCCCCCAGGGGCCTTTGGCCTGTGCTGGCCAGAAGCTCTCCATGGCATTTCAATGATTTATCTGAGGACTGTCAGTTCCTTTAAAGCCCCTTTTCCACATCTGTTGCCTTAAAGCCCCTAAACCCTAGATACTTTCTGAAGGTACACTCCATGGATGCCTGAGATCAGAATTGCTAGTTCCATTTTACAACCTGTAAATATCTGGGTTCTACCCCAGAACTACTGAATCACAATTATTATAGGAATCTGTACTATAAAACAAACATTCATTGGGTGCCTGGGTGGCTCAGTTGGCTGACTCTTGATTTTCTCTTGGGTCATGATCTCAGGGTTGTGAGATCGAGCCCCACGTTGGGCTCTGCGCTGAGCCTGGAACCTGCTTGGGAGTCTCTCTCTACCTCTCCCTCTGCCCCTTCCCCTGCTCGAGCACTCTCTCTCTCTCTCTCTCTCTCTCTGTCAAAACGAAACAAAACAAAACAAAAAACCAACAACAAAAACATTCAGGATGACTGTTATTCATACTAAAGTTTGAGAACCACAATATAAATGAACTCTGGGCTTCAAAGCACCTTGCATTTCTAAAACTCCTGGATTAGACTCTATCCTGTGAGGATATACACACCATTTTCTGGTTGACTTTCTGGGCTAGCTGCAGGCCTGCCTTCCCTTGCAGGGTCAGTTTTATTTCAGGATCCAGGGAGACCTTGGGCATTAGATAAGGGAGAATGACTGGTTATAGGGACTGGTGCTTTGTTTCTACAGGGATTGGGGTGAGGCCCTCGGGCCCCATGCTTTTAGGGGCAAGGCCTAGAGCTGATGATTGTCCCTCTTCAATGATTCCCATCTCCTCCTCCTGTTCAGAGGGCAGTCTCAGAGGCGTGGCCTGGGGTATATGATGAACTCAGCTAACCTTAGGCTCAGAGCATATATATTTTTCCTCTTCTGGTTCTATCTCTGAGATATCCAGGTACAAATGGTCCTTTCAGGGACCAGACCATAGATGAGTTGGTCACTGAGTCCTTGCAGGCTCAGGGATGTTTTCTGGAGCCTGGAATCTGGTAGTTAGTCACATATACTGCATATGGCTGTTTATCAGAGATTCAGGGCTGAACTGTGTCAGAACCGACCTAACTGCCTCTCTCTATCCCAGTAACTATAACTTGAAGATTTCCACAGAGCTCTGAAGATTCTTCCATAGATTAGGTTAAAAACATGATGAAGGGGCGCCTGGGTGGCTCAGATGGTTAAGCGTCTGCCTTTGGCTCAGGTCATGATCCCAGGATTCTGGGATCGAGTCCCGCATCGGGCTCCCTGCTCCTTGGGAGCCTGCTTCTCCCTCTGCCTTTCTCTCTCTCTCTGTCTCTCATGAATAAATAAATAAAATCTTTAAAACAAACAAACAAACAAACATGATGAAGGCCATGAAGTTCACTCCCCAAAATAATGTATATGTATATACATCTTAGGTACCCTTGAAGTGCTTCCATAGACTCCCTGGGGGTCTGTGGACTCCAACTTAAGAACCTCTGCTGTGGAGAAAAACGCCATCACTATGCATCTGGGATTTTAGGAGGTGTCTGGGATCACTATGGAGGACTAGGGGAGAGACCTCATCTCTAGGATGTCCCTGGGATGCTCTCCTTTGATCTCAATGCTCCTCCCTCAACCCTTTGGCATGTGCACATCCTGGGGCCTTCTGGCTTCTGGCTCTAGTTTAGCCATCACATGGAGACAGGAATCTTGGGAAATAGAGAAATCCTCAGCAGGTCTGAGGGGTTTAGGAACCCTGACTGACAGATTTATCATGAGCTATCTAAAAGGCAGTGAATCTACGCTACTAAAACCAGTCATCTGCATAAATAGATCAGCTACATCATGAATGTATCCCAGGATAGGGGGAGTGGCAATACCTCTTGGGTACAGTATGTTAACAGTCCAAACTGTGCTGGACTCCATAAGTAATCTCTGACTAAGGCAGAATTTTCACTGAGGCCTCAGCCAATGTCGAGAATTGCAGAACATTAAACTTCAGATAAGGTGCCCAGTGAACTTTTTAAAAATAGATATTGCAAAAACATTCAATTTAATTTTTTACCTAATCAACAATGCTATGTAGTTTAGCATATTGATATTAAAGTCAAAATGAGAATATTTGATAAGAAACTGCAACCAAGGAAAAACTATATCACAGTGTAATATGTGAGATATAATGAAGGGAAATTTGGAAGAGGGAGATGACCATTTCAGCATTTTTTGTTCAGCCAGGCTACTCTGACCTTGAATAATAAAATTTTTGGATGAGCAAATGTGAATAATGATTTTGGGGGGCCAGAAAACAGGTCTGAAATACTGAGGTATATAGACCCCATGCCACCCTCTCTCCCAAGTGGGCTATTATTACATTATCAGTAGAAAAAATGATCTTTGCCTGTTTGTCCCAGATTTATTATTGTGTTACAATTGGATGGAGTCTTCTCAAGGTACTGGGCATACTGGCATGAAAAAATAGAACAAATTCATATAACTCATATTTGTGACTCCAAGTTGTATTTCCTCCAGTTAGGGACTATCCTCTTCTACCTAAGCCCCATCATATCCAGGCCAGGCAGCAGTTTTATTAAAGTACAATGGTTAAATATGGGTGGTTATTTCAACTCTAGCCAAGAAGCCAAATTTATAATCAAGTTCTTTTGTTGCTTAAAGAGAACGTAGATATGATGACAGAGGTGAACTGGAACCTGAAACTGAGCAAGTGAATGCGTTATATGAGAGCATGAAGAATAGACCTTAAATAGTTTATTACAGATCTTAAGTCAGAGCTGGAGAAAAGGGTTCTCAAATTCCATTAGACTCTGAACTAGAGTAATCTACTCTTTGTCTTTTCATTTATTTTTATTTTAATTTTTTTTAGCAAACAAACTCTACCATCAAGGAATGGGTTTTGGGTTTTAGAGTCTACTGATGATTAGTGCTCTGATGCATTATTAGCATTATGTAGGCCATTGTTGAATGACTCATCAAATCAGACACATTCAAGTGCCTGAGTGTTCCCTTGTCAGCAGCTGCTCTCTACCCAAACCTCAGAGAAGGGAATGGCCAGACCGTGGAGCAGTGGGAAAGGAGTTTAGGAGTTTAGACCTCTAGGATTCTGGGCCATTCACTACTCAACTCCTTTTGCCTGTTCCATTTTATAAATTTATTTTGAGACCATCTATTTCAACTTCCTCAATTTTTAGAAGGCAGCTGGGACTTGGAGATTTAAGGGGCTCATTTAGCAATTTAAACCAGATCTTGGCCTTTATTGCAATCCTCTTCTCGACTCTTTCCAGATCCTCTTAGACAATGGCAGCTTTTATTTTATTTATTTATTTATTTTTAAAGATTTATTTATTTATTTTGAGAGAGTGAGAAAGAGAGAGAGAGAGTATATGAGAGGGGGGAGGGTTAGAGGGAGAAGCAGGCTCCTCGCCGAGCAGGGAGCCCGATGCGGGACTCGATCCTGGGACTCCAGGATCATGACCTGAGCTGAAGGCAGTCGCTTAACCAACTGAGCCACCCAGGCGCCCCGACAATGGCAGCTTTTAAAAAAAAATTTGTTTAAGTAAACTCTGCCCCCAACATGGGACTCGAACTCACAACCCCGAGATAAAGAGTCCCATGCTCTACTGATTGAGCCAGCCAGGGGCTGTAGACACTGACATCTTATTTGAGAATAAGGATCAGCTGCTCTCCTAAGTCCCACTTGCTTCTGTCCTGCCTCATAATATTTTTTTCATGTAAACGTAGAGTAGAAAAAAAAAAATCACCTTAGGCTTATATTTGAAACTCAGCTCTGTACCATGTTAGCTGTGTGGCAATACGGTAGTCATTTAACCTCTCTGGCTTCAATTTCAT